GTGGAGATGATGACTTCGCTTTCATGATAATGCCATGTGGTGCCCGAAAAGCGAATAACAACGCGCACAACGATAATCGCTATAGACCGAAGTTTAGAAACAACCGAGATTTTCAATTTTGATCGAAGCTACTATTCATTCGGCTCTACACGCTCTCCTACACACAACAATGGCATGCTCTGTCGAATAACCACCGACAAGATTAATATTTTATGCACTCGACACACACACACACACACACACACACACACACACACAAGCGGGCGAAAAGTTTGAATATTTTTAAATATACTCTGCCGGAACGATAAAATGCGATGCCAAAATCGCATTCTTTCGAAATGTGTTAGTTTTATCCAATGTAAAACTGGTGATGTTTGCCCTCCACATCACATTCCACTCTTTTTTTACCCATACACATGCACATAACTTCGCCTTCGAGCTGTTTGAGAGCATAAATCAGTGCGATTGATGGAATATTTACAACTTTAGCATTTTCTCACCCGCTAGCTTACTCACTCGCTTGTTTCCGTTCTCCATCATCACTCGCCAACTATTATGGAAAATTAGAGTTGATGTAACGTTTTCCAGCTTCTGTACAAATTATAGTTTCATTGCTCCGCATTTAACTCGCTTTTATAGATTAGTTGCATGCGATCGAGAAGTGGATTACCGCCGTTTTTCGAACGACTTGACCAAAAAAAAAAAAAACCACACACATATTCATCCCGAAATTAATTTATGCGTATTGAAATCGAGATTTTGATTTTACTTCACATCACATTTTTTTCTCTCTTTTTCGCCTGATTCCGTTCATTCTGATGGATATACGTGAAAAAATCATTAAAATCTCTGTGAATTTCGCGTTCGCAAAAAATATCCGCGCTACACACTTATAGGCCATCACACACTCACAAAATGTCTATATAAAAATTCACGAGCCAATAATGCATTGCCTTAAGCTAGTCTGTCCATGGCGTCATAATGATGCTAAATGAGAGTAGCATAAATGCAGGCGTTTCTCTCACTCAAACCATTTTCTCAGCTGTATCTAGAGTGTTGGCAAATTTAGCACGTTTATACGTTCATAAGCTGAATTGAGCTGAACGAAGCCGAAAAAAATAATGCACAACAATCATTTTCAGTTAAGGGTTTTTTTCGCTCTCCAATGAGTGTGGTAAATTGACACTTTACATCGTGAGAGGGTGAAGTTTGATGAGGAAAATTTCTCACTGATAGATCTGACATTTCCTTGAAATAAAAAAAAAAAGAGAAAAAAAGTCGGAAATTGCTTAAGTTCTTTGCAAATTGATTTGTAATTCTATGAAATGGGAATTTCTTCCGGTTTATGGACGATTATACGAGTCTCACTGCTGTTGCTGTTGCTGCTGCTATCAATCCATTGACGGTCATGCAACCGTTCTCTTAACACCATCAGAGTAGCAACATGTTTCGATATTCCCGAATATTATAACGCCATCAAATCATGTTATATCGCTGATTAGTGTTATTGAACGAGCGTGAAATAAGTTGAGCAATGAGTGGATCCATCGTTCGAGTCACACAACACATAACAGCGAGCTAAGTTAATTTTGGCAATCAAAATGACAGCATGAACGGAAACACACTACAAAGTGTATGAATGACACAGTTCAAAATACTCTCTACGTTTCAATATATATATTTGATACGGAATAAAATTGTGACGATCCATGCTAATCAATAGTCTTTGTGAATATATTTTCGGTGTATCGTTAGACTTTGATGGCAACATAATAAGTTTTAATTCTCTGTTGTAATTGATAACAGTCGTGATGTGTGGTGGAAGCATGCAATGCACTCATTGGGGATACGTATGTGGGTGTATGTGTGCAAAAAAGAGTCGATGCTTGTTTAATATTTACTAATGTCAATAGTTTATCCGAAAGAGAGAAGAAAAGTGAAATACGAAGTTCAAACTATATTGCAATGTTTTCCGCTCTTGCGACTTGTGTCCCTTGTGACTTTTGATTGGATTTCACATGGGGAGCCTGGCTCTAACTATATATATGTTGTTATGTGCTTCGGCTAAAGCTTTCAACCTCGTCGGACTGGACGAATGAAATTTTAAATAAGATCGTTGGCATTAAAGTGATTCCACAATAAGGGGAGGCTAATGGAATTCTGTCTAATTCGAATTCCAAAGTTGCAAATAGTTTTATAGATCAAAAAAAAAGTAAACCAACACAAGATAAAGAGAACAATCCCATAAAAATGCCAAGTTCTTGTTGTGATGCTGTGTGTACACCATTGAGGCTTTGGTTTTTCGATGTTCCACAACACTAAATTGTTGACGTTGTTGGCATTATTCTGGGCATATGTGTGTGTGCCTGTGCGTGTATGTATTTTGTACGAAAACCCAGTGTATATGGGATTGTTCTCTTGCCTGGGCAATACGTGACACTTACAACTTTTCGTTGGCAACATATTTGCGTAGATTAGATTGCATGAGAGGAAGAAACGGGGCGGAAGAGAAAAAAAGGTCATAAGGGTTATTTATTTAGGCCTTTATTCATGTATATTAATGTCGATAATTAGCAATATTTTCTGTTTGCGCACTTATTCATCCCGGCTTTCGGCTTTGACGTATATCTGCTTACATTATTTTTGCAACACAGACGGGTCGACGACGTCGTCGTTGGCATGCACTCGACGAAATTAAAGGGTTAGACAGTTTCAAAAGATGTTTGATAATGCTTCTAGCATACAAATGACATTATTATTGCTGTTATTGAATGTGAAAAGCATAAAGCACAGCGAATCCCCCTCCTCACAATGCTCACAAAATTTGGCCCGTCTATCCATTCAATATCTTTAATTTCTTCTTGCATCCCATTCTCTCCGTTCCTGATTCGTGTAAATTGTGTTGCCGTCGCCGCTGCAGCTGCTATTTGCTTGTTCCATTTTCGATTTTTTAGTTGGTCTCTCGAGTGCGTTGATATACGATAAGAATTGAGCGCGATACAAAATTACCATCGGTTGATCGATAAAATGTCAATAAATTTTAACATGACATTACCACTTTACCCTGATCGCTTCTTGTTGTTTTCTCGTTTTGCTCTCGCTACTTCGATATCCGTTCCTTCCGCATTTTTTGTGGCATTCACTCATTCCCATCCTCTGTTACTGTGTCTGCCTCTCCATCTCTAGCTCTTGCTCGAAACTCGAAAGTTTCGAACTGGCATTTGGTTGGCAGTGGCGCGGCGAGTATCGGTTTGTGTAAGCAAACTATACACCATATCTTATTTATTTATGGCTTACGTGTGTCTAAGAGGAATGAGCAGAGAGTAAGGAATTGAAAATAAAAACAAACAAAAAATAAAGAAAAATCCAAAATGGGGCAAAACCATTCGGCAGAAAAGAAAGCGCGCACACTCCTCGCAAAACATATTGCTTACACGAGTTCACATGTACTTTTCCGTCAAATTCGGTTCCGTTTTGTGTGTTGTATTTCTCTTTTTTTTTCAGCTCGATCTCTTGTCGTCGTTGTCGTGTTTGTCTTTGATGAATCGGTTTGTGTCGCCTCAAATATAGAATTTTTTACATCGATAGATTGTTGGCACTTTTTCGTTGTCAAACACGATCTAGAAAGTGAAAGAGATAGCGAACGTGTGTGAGCGCGCGCATTTTGCAATTTAGAATCGCTTTTACGCATTGCATCTTTTGTAACCTCGTAACCACTACTCAATTTTCAAATACCAAAATATATGTGCAAGAGAATCCATTTTCAATAGAAATTCCAACATTCATCGCATATGATAACATCACGACACAACGGAAAAACTGTGTATATGTGATTTAAGGAAAAGCAGCCAAAACCATGAGCATAACTTTCCATTTGAATTGTCGTGTGCGAACAAAGGAATTATCATTCGGCCACCCCGCACACACACACAAACACCACGAAGTGAAACCAAAATAAAACGATGTGTTGGAAATTAGAGCCTTGGCTAACATATCATTTTTCCAAATGTGTAACGAGATACAAGCACATATTTTATGCGTTTCCATGTAAATAATGAGATGGCAAGAAGTTTTCCGAAAATTATTACTGGCAAACGAAAAAACGGTTGACGATGACGACTACGACAACGATGAAGAACATGACAAAAAAGAAACGACGAAGTAACACATGCACACAAATCTACATTATTAAAAGTTATTTCGAGCGTGTCCGTGTGTTCCACGGCATACACGCAGAGCACATCCATGCAAACAGAGCGTATCGAACACACTTTGACCTTTCTACGTGCAAGGGATACATTTAGAACATCATCGATCTCTCGTAAAACTTTGACATTGACTAGCTTCTTCTTCCATTTCTGACGAATTTCGGTGGGTGGTTGGATGTGTGCGTTTTTCTGTCTCTTTCGTTCTTTATTGTTGATAGAAAGTTTTCGTCGTTGATGAATTGACGAAAAATGTTCGTCAATAAACCGAATTGCATTCCATTCGCCTGTCAGGCATGCTACAACCGATTGAACCACATACATCAAATTACTCATCCCCAATACACAAACATACACACATCTGTGAATGAGCCGCAATTTCCACTAAAATATTAATATGTCAATACGTTTGATATCGGTCTCATTTTCACTTTGTTCACACTATTTTGCTGCTTTTTTTGTTTGTTTGTTTTTTTCTGCGTTCAGTTCAATGACATGAAATTTAGATGGCTTCATTCTCACATTCATTATGTGTTATTATTACATTGACTTTGAGTTCGCTTTGGACGACAAGCCGTTGAACTTCAGCTGCGTGTGAAATGATTTAGATTTCGATTCAGTATATAATTTGTCATGTGGGAAAAGAAGACGTGCGGAGCAGACATTGATAAAAAAAATAAAACCAACAACTTTTTTTTCGCTCTGCTTCTTGTCTCAGTTTAGCTTTATCATTTTCGATTCCAACACAACTGATAAATTAAATTGTGATTGTTGCTGCCACTCACTAAACGGTTTGTTATCGCAGAAGAAACCGTTCGTATCACAGTTCAATTTGTTGTGTGTGTAGTTTTTTGCTCTTCGCTCTATCTCTTTCGCTCGCTCTCTCTCTCTCTCCCTTTCTCTCTCTTGCTGATTCGCTTTTTCTCATCATGAACAACTTAATCTAATTCTATTTCGGTTGAGCGCAGCACGTCTAATTGTGAATTCATTGCGACGCAATCACTTTATCATTAGTGCTCATGCATATAACATTTCGGTTTGCTTGTGTGTTGTGTATTGTTCAAAGTTCCAAATTCAATTTAGCTAATCTGTTGGTTGCGCGAGTGCGCTCTAATGCCCATGTGTTTATACATTTGATAGTGAATTTAAAACGACATTTTTTTTTGTTGCTTCTGTTTAAAAACGAAACCATTCGACAAACACACACACACAAAAATTTGCTGTGAAATTAGTTTAAAATTGATTTTCAAACAAGAAACCAGCTTGCAACTTGTGTTTGTGTGTTTGAACAAGAAACGGCGAAGGAAACATCTCGATCAAAGAAGAAGAAAAAGATACAATCAAGAAATAAGAAAAGACAACTCAGAAGCGACCGCCGAAAAATAATTGGGCGAATCAGTGGAAGAGCGGAAGAAATAGAGAGAGAGAGAGAAACCGATCGAACGAACTGAAAGACAGGCGGCAGCGAGAAAAACAGAGAATATCAAGAAGCAGCGCGTTTGGCTCGAATGCCAGTACACAAACAAATGGCCGAACATCGTGTATATTATAAATCGTCGTATTTATTTCAATAAAACGGGAATCGAACGAAAATTGAAAAATAAGAGCGCGACGGAAAATTGGAGAACAAACGATAAATAACAAGGCGAATGAAACAACTGCCACAAGAAAAAAAAAGTGAAAAAACAAACATACACATAGGACGAAAGGAAGAGAGAGAGAGAAAGAAGAAGATTGGTGTCACATATTGCATTCAGCTGAAAACATCCATTGAGCTGCGCTTCACGTCTACTCTTTTTCTGCGTTGACTCTCGGCGCTCTGTTGTCCCGGTGTGGAAGTTTACCTCATTTTGTTGTGCCCCATCATTTTGTAGTGTGCCACAGCAATTCCAGCATCCGACAAACGAAAAAGCATTACATTATTTGTGTGTGGGTGTGTGTGCAGCAGGCAACACCAACAAAATGGACAATCGATTGGATATTGAATCGTTGGCTAAATTGTTCGAACCGTCGTTTTGGTCGAAACGTTACTCAACGCGGGAACAAGTCTTGAGTGAACACATTGCTTTTACGAAAAGTGGTAAGAATTTCCAATTTTTCTTAATGTTTCTTCGCCGACTCGTCCACTCTCGAGAAAAAAAATACAATACATGCGAGGCGACATTGCATTGGCAAATATTCGGATGTGTGTACATTACATGCGAGTGACCGCCTTCCAATGTTGCATATTTCACATTTGTGATGCGATACAAAGGAGTGTACTAAAAAGTATCAAAATCAGCATATTCATTCCCAATTTAATGAAAGCAGGTCACTTTTTCCACTTTGAACCTGAAAAATTCAAATTGGAATGAAGAACGAGAAAATTAATCGAATTGGTAACAAAAAATTATTCTCTTTGTTTTATCAACAAACAAAATCTGCGTTTATCACACTTTGCCAAACTGTGAATTCGGAAAAAAGAAATCGTACATTTATCTACAAACAAAGTGGATTTTGCATCTGATCGGTCGATTTGGTTTGAATTAAAACGATGACAGTCAGGAGAGCAACTGAAAACAAGCACCCATTATATATTCGAACCCATATATATGCAGTTTGTGAACGAGCGAGAGAGAGAGAGAGAGAGAGAGGGAGAGAGAGAGAGGGAGAGAGAGAGAGAGAGAGAAAGCAACAACAACGAGAAATATCTAACCATGGTCCAAAAAAGCCACCGAAATCGAATGCATCAACATAAGAAAAACGATATGGCCTGCGTCAATGCACAGCAGACAGACACACAGAATAGAGCGACAGATAGAGAAATGAGCAGAGTTCTATGTATCCGATATACATCGAATAGGATGACTGGAAACGGTACACATGATACCGAATGAATGCAGTCCATAAATTGTGCTACAAAATTAATATGAATCAACAACAAAACAAAGATCGGTTGTACTGTATGGGTATTTGTGCCTCTGAGAGTAGGTATGTTTGTTGGTTTTTCTCCTCCTCCTCCTGATGCTGCTGTTGCTGAGTGGTCAGGGAGCAAAAGTCCATTGTGTTTATCATAGTGTACGTAAGTTCTATCTGATAAACAACACATAACCCATTTTTTTGTGGATAATTGAAAACACAAAAAAAAAAAACAAATAGACAGCGGCTGATTTCAATCGATTCGATTTCGCGCTTTGACAAAAATTGTCACGTTTTTGCCTTGTCGGTGTATGTTCACTGGAAACTTGCAAATAAAGCATCAAAATTTGCAATCAAACGGTTTATTTTATTAAATAAAAACTAAGTGAACAGAAATGTTTGTAGTGGCTAGGTTGAACATGCCAAAAAAGCATTAATAAAGCAAATGAATTGAATTACAACTACAACGCCAGCAAAAAATATACAAAAGTCATCGGAATAAAACCGAAACTGTAAACATAAACGCTACTAGTTGTTTATTGAAAGAAAAATTGATAGAAAAAACGTACATATATGGCGGAGGGTAGGATGGAAATGTGAGAATCTGATCGGATTTTTTTTCTTCAATGAAACTTCTTTGTTCCCATTAAATCAACCGAAGATCTTGATTGGTCATAAACCGAAGGCATTAGCTCATATTTATTTGAAATCAGAATTTCAATCAAATCAAGTATAAACTTCAATTGTCAATTGTAAAAACGAAAATATTAAAAATAATCTCGATATTTCGTGAAGTGGAAAAAATTTCTCTTGCAAAATTCATTTTTGGCTGTTGTCGTTGTTTCTTTTTATTTGATTTCATTTTTATTTCGAGTTTTTTTTTTGTTCATTTTCTCTTTCTTTTGTACTTTATGTTGAATGTAAACTCGGCAACTTCTGGACGATGGTGGTGACGGTGTGGTGTTGGTTATATGCAAAAAATGTCATTGCAGAAAGCGAACGGGTAAGAAGAGCGATACAATTCGAGACAGTGCAATACGGCCAGACATTTACAAATGAAACATTCGATATTTATGGCATTGATTTACCCAAAGGTATTAAATTGCTTTTTTTTATTGCACATTTCCATTTATTTGTACACATTCATTTTTTTCGGTTCTCGTTGGTGCTTTCCCAATCGATAGGGAGATGAGAGTATAGATTTACATTTTCGATATGTTATTAATATGTTAATAACCAAAATATCGGAAAATTTCTAATAACTCAAACATAACATATTATTATAAATAAGATCGCCATTTTATTAAAAAGTTAATAAGATCCATCTTATTATCTATCTTCTCTCTCTCTCATCTATAGATTTACAAGCATTAACATACTAATGTTATTAATTACTAACATATTATTAACGGGGCGTTAATAACTCAAACATAACATATTATTAGATTAATAAGATCGCCATTTTATTAAAAAGTTAATAAGATCCATCTTATTATTATTAAGATAATCTTATTAAAATATTAATAAGAAAATCGGATTTTATTAACCAATTTTCAAAAAAAATTACGAAGAAAAGTTTCAAACTAAAAACATATCAAATATCGTCAAACGACGAAATATTGAAGAAAAATGCATCTGACGATATTTGATATGTTTTTAGTATGAAACTTTTCTTCGCAATTTTTTTTGAAAATTGGTTAATAAAATCCGATTTTCTTATTAATATTTTAATAAGATTATCTTAATAATAATAAGATGGATCTTATTAACTTTTTAATAAAATGGCGATCTTATTAATCTAATAATATGTTATGTTTGAGTTATTAACGCCCCGTTAATAATATGTTAGTAATTAATAACATTAGTATGTTAATGCCTGTAAATCTATAGATGAGAGAGAGAGAGAGAGAGAGAGAGAGAGAGAGTGTGTGTGTGTGAAGGAAAAATGGATCTTTTCTCGTTCGCTTGTAAATCGGGCGCATTAGAGTATTTTAAATACGATGGCATTTGTTCGTTGTGTGTGTGTGTGCGTGACTTATATTCCTTCTCATGAGATAACCGATGCAACTTTTTTATGTGACAAAAGATGTGAATCAAACGGGATGCTTGGGTGTAAAGTATTCCATTTACGCGACTGAATTTCCGCTTCGAACATATTCCTCACACTTCAACTCGGGTTCAATAATAATTTTACATATTAAAATTGGTTGTTTGCATCCATTTTCATCTTGTGACATCTTTTTTCTTCCCTGTCTTTCTCTCTCTCCCTCTCTATGTGTGTGTGTCTATCTTTCTCACTCTCACTCTCACTCTCTCGTTCGATGCATTCTTTGCATAATTTATGACCATCTTCCGATTTTTTACACATGCATCCGGCTGATCGTTTTCTCGCCACTTTTTCAACAGTTTCCATTACCATTTTTCTCTCAACCTCTACCAATTCACTTGCTGTCCCTATATGGCCATCTCTATTTCTCTCTGGTTCGGTTTTTGGTTGCATTTTTATTGTTATTTGCAGATGCGCCGATATTTATTTACATTCATGGCGGATATTGGCAGGAATTAGACAAAACCGTTAGTGCATATGTGGTGGAACCGTTGTACAAAGCAGGTCACAAAGTGATTGTACTCGATTACGATCTCTGCCCGAATATATCATTGGAACAATTGGTTGATCAGATCCAACGAGCTGGCATTTCGATCGTAAATTATGCGATGTCAATAGGAACGAGGTAGGTGCTATTTTTTGTTGTCCACTTTCTCTTCCTCACTCGTTTCATTGCAAGCTTTTCGATTAATTTTGGTGCAAAAAATAATGTCGATGCCCATCAGACCATTTCCTATTTGAATACGCCATGGCCATTGTCACATGCACACACACATTTTCATAGAAAACTCACACAGAGACACACAAATACATATCCTTAACACATGTAGTACGTATGTCACATCGTTGTATTTTTCTGTTTTTTTTTTCTGCAATTTCTTTTAGATGTATCCAACTAGGTGGGCATTCTGCCGGGGCACATTTGGCCACATGCTTGTTTGATAATCTTGTGAAACAATCACCGCCGCTGACACCAATTGTAAAATCATTGTACTTGATATCCGGTGTATACGATGTTTTCGAGCTCCAATACATGCCAACGGTCAATCCGAATAATATTTTGTCACTTGATGAAAACAATGTATTACGCCTGTCGCCGATGCTATTCGACTTCGATAAATGGGCTGCCGTCGCAGCAGCAGCACGTAGCGATGCAACAGCCATTCATTTATATGTTGGTACAGACGATGCACCAAAATTGGTTGGTCAATCATACTGTTTGGAACGTTTGCTCGCCCATCATCAGTATCCAAATTATCGTTTGGTCATGATTGAAAACACCGATCATTTCGACATTGTTGAAAACCTGTCACACGCTGACTTTGCAATCACAAAAGACATAATCAACGAAGCGAAATCATTTTCGATACTTTGAAGCAGAATCGAGCGACACCAAAAAAATGAAAATAAAAAAAAATGCGACTCTCAGTGCGGGAGCAAGTGAAAGAAAGACAGAAAAAATGCGAATTTCACGCTTAATTTATACGTTCCAATATATTAATTTCGTTGCAATTAAAAATACAATCAAAAAAAATTTAATCATTTTTGCAAGTGAATGGAAACCGTTTCCGAATGTTAATTAATTAAAATGTCATTTTTTTCAACACTAAAAATGGAATTCGGTTTTTTTTCCTTCTTTTCATTCAGCTCCCCGTTGATATTTACTTTGAGGTATAAATTTAAATAAATAAAGCGTCAATTGAAGCCCGATTTTTTCACGGTTTTTATTTTACTATGTGAACGTTGATGCAATGAATAAAATTCACCGTTGTTGGCACACACAAAAGTAATGGGATTGATTTTGGGCGATTCAACAGAGGAAACCATGAAGCGCGATCATGATGAGAATGTGAACAAAAGAGAGAAAAAAATGGAAACTGGAGCAAGCTGGTCGACTTTGTTTGATGGCCACACAAAGGGAAAAAAAGCTGACATTTTTGCGACAAAAATTAAATTTTTACGTTCCTATTGTCAACGGTAATGTGATTGAATGAGGAACAAAGGCGTCAAATGGAACCCGTAACCACGGCTTACGGGGAAATATTTCATCCCTTTTCGGAACAGGGCGGATGTATAATGTAGCTACAGACGATGTGAAGCCTTCCACAAGTAAGTGAACAATTCAAGAGGTGATTTAAATTTCTAGATTGAGTAATTTTCTACTTCTTCTTCTGGTTTCTCTTTTCAAAGGTGAGGATAGTATTTAAAAATGTAAACACAAAGAAAAACACTGTACGTTTGAGAAGCAACACTTTGGGAGAATAAAAATTTGTTCAGAGAGGGTAATTTTGGGTTCTCAAACCCCTATTCCAGAACATCTATGCCGTTGGCCCATTGTTTGTTTAGAGAAATTCCGTTTGCAATAGATTACTCGGTGGCGCATACACATTTCCAACGGCATGTAATGATCATCTATCATTGTCTCCATTAACGCAAAAAGCAATAATTCAGTAACGAGAGTTATGTGTGTGTGCTTTCAATTTTTGAAAAAGCAATAACGACAACGACGATCGGTTTGAGTGTGTGAATAAACAGGACAGGGATTTAGCCGGAAAAAAGGGAGCTTTCGAACGGTTGTTGATGCTTGTGTTTGCGGGAAAAGTCATTAATCCGGCCATCGGTAACATTTTCTAATCAAAAAGTGAATGGCAAATGTTAAGCTGTAAGCTGTGCAAAGCAATGACGATATAGGCAAGACACAGATTATGCTACGTATAAAGGAATGCATGCATATCAAAAGCATTAGTACACAATAAATCATTTCGTCGAACTGTTGATCTCTATCAGTTTGACCAAATCTATCTATCTCTGTACCGTTCGCTCGCTCACTCTTCGCCAGTCTTGTCGACGGCTTTGATGAAAAATCTGTTCAGTTGTTCATCACCGAAAATGTGATGGCTTGTGCAACGAGAATGAGCAGAGTGATGGAGACCAAGCGACACAACAAAATCAGTTGCTCCAGCAATGCAAGGCGACATGTAACGATAGATGTAACAACTAAGAGTAATTATAGTTAAACACGCCATCAAATTTTATGGCATTCGCACAACAGCAGCAATTCCTGTTGAATTATTGATGTTATTTCATCCACCACTTTTGCAACCGCTATGTGTGTCCCTGTACCTGTGTGCGCCACTGTGCTGGTACGGGTGCCGAGTACAATTTCGAAGTGCTGTCTCGCACGCCCAGAGCCAACCAACCGGTGCGGTACAGTTATGGATCTAACGAGTGAGCAAACTCACGGAAAATTAATCTTACACTTGACGCATAAACTAACTTTCAATAAATGTCAATGTTTAATTATGTGAGAACGACAATATCAAATGGCACAGCGTAAAATCGTTGTTGGGATACGCGCACTTGCGCCCGCCATTCCGTAAAGTCAAGTTTTGTGTGAAATTTTCGAGTGAAATGCTGACGAGATGTCGGCGAGCTAGAGTGAATGAGTGTGAGAAAAAAAAAAGAAAAAAGAAATTGAATATGCATGCAAAAACGGGAAGGCCCGTTGAGCCGCCTGCACCCACTTAAAAATGATTTTGCTGTAATCAAATTAATGCTCGTCACTTTTGGATTCATTTCAGTCGGTGCCAAGCCGAACGAATCACACTGAAAACTAATGAATTTACGTTGTGGCTGCGATGGGGGAATACACGTAGAACGAATAAAAAAGGAGGGCGAGCATCGAGTATGTACAGATTGCATGCGATGTAACGAAATTTGGGATGGAGCGCATGAGCATTTAAAAAAAAAAGATGACTCAATATTTACACCTTTCTGCTTTCTCTCTCTCTCTCTCTCTCTCTCTCTCTCTCTCTCTCTCTCTCTATCTCACTCTCATTCATAGATGAAATGTGTTTTGGTGCCGACCATCAGCCATTAGTGGCATAACGACATTCAAAATGATTCAATTCGGACGATACGTGCATACTAATGCTCACCTTCAACAAGTTTCGGCCTGTGATTGTTCACCCAAAGGTCGACAATCCAATTGGTAGTGATTATTGCTACTTTTACGGCTACTGTCACATGAAGATAGACGAAGACACCGCAAAAAATTTATCAAATTTTCCGTCCAATCTTTTTTGCGCTTAACGTTTTAGAATAGCTCATTGATTCGTTTATGGTAATTTCCTGTATTTAGAAATAGACGCTAAATGTCGACGACAGAAAATTGTCGAGAAAAAACCACCAACCAATTGGTTGCATAAATATGACGCAGACTATGCCCGTGTTGCGCGAGAAAAAAGTGTTCACTTCAGAGTTTATTGTTTATCGTTGTTTGTTTCCATTTTTAAGTTGTGCTAATTGCCATGGTTTCGGTTAAAAGTCAAACGCTGCTCAACCATTGTCATCGCTCCCTGTCGCATTATGGAATCGCTTTGCTCATTCTTTTGATGAATGAACAACCAATTTTGTTCGTGTTCATGTGCAGCATGACAGTGACACCATCATCATCATCATCATCATCATCATCATAACGTTTCGCCTTTTTTCGCCTCATTCTCTTTATTTGTACGCATACCTCCAACTCACAAAGGAACAAAGCATAACCAAGATGAAAGAAAGACCAAAGCACGTCGATAGGGATGAGAGACGAAGAAGAAGAAGAATAGGAGAGAGAAAAAAATAGCGGCGAAGAGAGCACATTTCGCAATATATATGGCATTTTTTTTCTGCTGTTGTTATGTTTAGCTTTTTGTAATTGCCGTTGTTAATGGTTACGGTCGTTGTTGAGCTTCGTTTCATATCCATTTGTGAAAAAGAGTGTTCATGCCCAGAGCTTTGCTCTTGTTGGCAGGATAGATTTTTATGTGCTTGTGTCTGGTCTCGAGTCGTTTGCTCGCTGACTAGCACTCGGTGTTTATTTGATGCCAAGCTACTTGTGACTCTCAATGCAATAAAAGATTGTGCGCGTCTATGACACTACCGCATAAGAAAGCATTTTTGTTGACGCTACATCTCGTTTGCGTTGTTTATATGGCTTTTTTCCTCATCTCATCTCTCTCGCTCTCTTTTACTCTCTTACACTGTTTGGTCTTTACTTTGCAATTTGAATGTCTTTGTTGTGTTTTTGGCTCACTTCAGATTTTCGACGAGACTCTGTGCACTGAAAGCCGCATCGCTGCACAAAAAGGCGAACAAGTCAAGAGCACAAACACGACACAGAATATAGTACATGCACAACAATGGCCACGCCACACAACTGAAGCTTCAGCACAAATTATATCTAGCAATAATACTGATGTGTGCATTTATTATCAATTTCTGTTGACATAATTTATAATTTACTGAACCCGTTCCAGCCTTCACCGCCCACTGCTTTTGCTAGCTGGTTTTCCTCTGTATCTTTGACTTTCTTCCTGGCTACCTCTTTCTGCATGCTCGAGTCATTTGCTGAAACACTTAATTAGTGCGACTTAATATAAAGTCATTTCTCTTTTCTGTTTTTTAACTGCATTCATTCCTATTGTTTGGCCATTATTTTGTTTGTCGCAGCATGCCACTTTGTTGCTCATTTCTTCTATCGTCGCTTTTGCCAGAGTTCATTGGCCCAAAGGCTCCCAGAGCGAAATTTTCTTACCGGCTTCTTGCATATTCGACCATTTTTAATATTTTTTTCTACTTTTGTTTTACTTTTGCCATTTCAACAAAAAAAAAAAACAAAATGCCAACTGCAAAATGTTTTCCATCGGTTTTATGCACATTCGGAATTATTTGCGCTAGCTATCATCGGGGTGCAAAATTGCTCTTGATTACTGTGAGTAAAAATGTGCCGGATAAAGTGAGAAAAAGAGAAAAGAAACAATAGCCATAAATCAATTTAAGAACACTCTCACCTTTCTCTTCTACTCCCCTGAAACACATCGATTCGGTCGTCTCGAAGCAGAGCTATGATCAGCAGAATTTTCCATTGAGTTTTCTTCGCATAACTTTCTCCCTTGAACAAATAATGCTCTTTTGTCGATCGTAAGCAATTTTCCATCCGAAAAATGGAAAGCAAAAAAAATACAAACACACACACACTCTCTCTCTCGATACTTTGTTGTTTTTGCTTGCGTATTTTCTCTTGGGACCATTTCCCATTTTTCCGCTTGCACGAGAACATGTAATTAACTCAAATAATAGACAAGCGATTTTTTTCTTCTTCACTTCTAAAGTAATACAAAAATATTTGTTAAAAGTTTGCCAGTCCAAAATCGATGAAATCGAAATAAAACATCGATTAATACTCGCAAAAAAAACAATCAATGAAGGTCTTTAAACGGTATAGGGAGCCTGGAAAGCAAAGTTCGTTGTATCGTTCGTGCGTTGTGTGACACCCAACAAGTATCCGGATATTTTCATTTTTCCACTAAATCGTAGTTTGGCATCGAATTTGCCAGTTAATGAAGTTTTCCATTTGTTTCGAAATTTTCCATTCGGGTAAACAATCACGAGGATGCACGACATTTAAAAGACTATTTGCAAAGTTGAAACTTTAAAATGAATTTTAAAAAGTTTGCACTTGGTTCGATTTTATGGAATATTGCAAATCGACTTGTGCACATCACAAACCTTTGGCTCCTTCCTTGACACACATACACGCACTCTCTTCACTTCGTTTCTCTTCGTCCCATTCTAACAACAAACTCAATCTCTCTATTGCGTTGTCGCACTCTATGTTCTCTCCTCTTCTTCTTCAATCATTTTGTTCTAAATGGCAATTTC